TCCTCGCTCGATCAAGAGAATGCCGAGAGGATGAGCCCATAGGCGTGTCCTCCCGGCCCGAGTATATCGAGAGGATTAGCCCGTCGGCGTCTCCTCGTTCGATCAGGAGAATGCCGAGAGGATGAGCCCATAGGCGTGTCCTCCCGGCCCGAGTATATCGAGAGGATTAGCCCGTCGGCGTCTCCTCATTCGATCAAGAGAATGCCGAGAGGATGAGCCCACAGGCGTGTCCTCCCGGCCCGAGTATATCGAGAGGATTAGCCCGTCGGCGTCTCCTCGTTCGATCAAGAGCATGGCACTCAAAACTAATATTGCCGCTAGGGCGCTGCCAATGGCGGAGAAAGCCGCCCCCTTTTGCATGAGATGTTCTTGCGAACCTCTCCCCGTAGTAGCTGCCCTCAACCGTTCGCTGTGAAGCGACCGTGGCAAGTAAATGGGTTTTACCCCGCATGTCCTCCGTAGGAAGACTCCGTATGAAGCTGCCCTCGACCGTTCGCTAGGAAGCGACCGTGGCACGTAGATGGGTTTTACCCCGCATGTCTTCCGTAGGAAGACTCCGTATGAGGCTGCCCTCGACTGTCGAGTATCTGTCGACTTCGTGAAGAGCCAAGAAAAGCACGTCCGTTCTCGTAGCGGTTGCTCACTAGTTGCTGGAGGGTCCGCATCGCCAAGAAGGTCGCACAAGTGAGCCCGTAGGTTACCGTTGTAAGCCGGTAGGCGAGAAGCTGTTGGTCGGGTCCAAACCACAGGATTCTCTGCAATTCCCAGTCGTCGGGGTGGACTGCAATCTGACGGAACATCTTCACTACGTCTGCAGAGAAAAGAACCCGTGATGTGGAAGACACTGGACAGGGGCGTGAGTGGAGGAGGTATCAGCCTCAATCTTGGGTCCCATGTTCCGGTATTGCAGTCGGTGCTTCCCCATACAGTCGTTGGAATGTAGCGTCGGAAGAGAATCGTGGAAATAGGCGTCTAAGACAGTCGAGAGCCTTCGATTTGGATGCCGGAGTTTTCACAGTCACAACCCGAGTCAATCCGTCGGGTCCCGGGTGAAGCTCTAGGACTCTAGCAAGGGGCCACTTTCCTGGCGGGTAGCGCTCATCTGAAATTAGAACTAAAGTGCCCACTTTAATGTCGTTCGCTGAATGATATACCACTTGGAGATGGCCTGGTAACTTTGGAGACGCTCCGTAGGCCATCTCGTCCAGAAATGCTCTACTCGCTGACGGAGCATTTGCCAGCGGTTAGGACGTGAGATGGGTTCCGTCGACAGGTTGGTAGGGCAGTCGGTGCGTGCCCAGGTGTCAAGGCTGCACAATCGGCGACGTCGTCGGAAAGTGGACAAAGCGGCCGAGAGTTTAACACCGCTTCGATCTCTGAAGTGAGGAGTCGAAGGAGGATTGAAGTTCCACTCGGTACCGTCTCTGGCCAGAAGGGAGGCAAGGTTGCCGAGCTCCGTGGAGGATTGCGTGAATAAACGCTTAAATTCCGCGTCCGCTCCCACGAAGTTCGTGCCGCAGTCGTTCTGAAGTATGGCGCAGATGTGATCTGAGTGCCCCCCGTGGTGAGATTTTCGGTGCGCGTCGTCAACGACGAGTGAGGTCAAAGGCGACGGCCTAAGAGTTCGACTTCAGCAGCGGTTCTCCTTTCCC